ATAAACAAGGAACATAACGTTGCTATTCTGCTAAATGTGGAGGAAATAATTTCCTTTGTAGGAAGAAGTTTTCTAGTCAGAAGGCAGCACAGAAAAAAATCCTTTAGGCTCAACTTCTTCCTCTCCTCCCAGACTCACTTTCACCTCTGTTCTGATCCAGACATAATGCAATTTCATCTGACGTCATAGGCGAGGTATTTTCCTCTTTAAGGTAAACAAATGATATCACAACCACAGGACTGTGATTTCAACTGCAGGACTGAACAAGTGGGTATCCAATACACAGAATGAAAGTTATTGTTCAAACATAAACAGCAGAAATAACCACAAAAGTAAAGCAATTGAACAGCCAAGTAAATTAATTCCTTTTTGAATTACTGTCCTGTTTTCCAAGCCTAAATGATTCTCCTTTCCTATTTAGGAAGCCTGAGGGGATGAAAAAGTGTCCAAGATGGTGAAATTAAAAATTAGCTACTGAGCATGAAACATGCAATGATTGCACTTCGTAACATTTTTATTGCCTCAGTGTTGTATGAACCACTTCACAGTTCCACACTGTTACAATGAAAAAAATGACACCAATAAAGTCTAACCCATGGATGTTATGCCTTCATCAATCAGAGACTAAAGGCATGCACTGACAAATATTTTCAAGAATACCGAGAGAACTACCACCTCATTCTGAAGAAGCACAAGTTTCATCTTTGTATCTTTCTGAAGAGTGGTCATTCTCACACCAAAAGATGGAATATTGACATAACCCTCAGTACAGCTCCATGCGACACAACCTTACTTTCCCTTTCAGAAACCGGCCAACTTTGGGTTTCTCAAGAGTTACGAATGCAGCTAACACACAGTGAGGCTACAACTATTACAGAATGTTCCCAGTTCAGAACATGCTCACTCCTTTGAGGTTTTGCATCAAGACAGTATTATTTTAATAATGACCTGCACTTAGTTTTATTTTTTAAAAGTCTACAGATTCTGGAAGTGTGAAGTTGAATTATCTTTACAATTTCACTAAATCCAAAAAAGTTCAATTTATTGCTACTTAAAACTTCCAAGAGGACAATAATCTATACTTAAGACTACAAAGCAGCATCGTAGTAATCTATCAGATACAACATCAAAGGTATAGTGCAAAGAAGTGACCTCCCACAGGCAGGTTGTACCTTCTTTTGACAGTCATGCTCAATAGCTACCAAAATGCAACCTTAAATTCCTTCTACTTATAGTTCAACTTTGATGTGACTAAATAAGTATTTTAGTCTGGTTGTATTAAAAAAAAAATCTCCCATCTCTATAAAGCATCACTAAATCCCAACCTGTTCTGAAACAGCAGAACCTAACAAATGTTTTTTTTCCCCTCTCTAACAAATACGAGCATTTTTTTTTTAATTGAGTGGCTAGACATCTTGACTCAGGTATTAGAACTCTGGTAGGATTCTTTCCTTTAATATAATAGCTTATTTCCCTTATAAAATAATTAATAGAAAATAAAGCTTTTTTTGTTAACTCTAATCTTGCCTCCTTGCAAGTGTGCCAGAGACATTTTAATATGGATCAGATCATGAACATCACAAATTACAGCAGCAATGTGTGGCAATAAAGGCTCAGCTTATTCATATAACAGTAATAACTTCTCCCTTCTTCGATTAAAAAAAAGAAGTAAACAGTATACACTGATCTCTTAGGACAAAAAGTCAGTTCCTGTTAAATCTGAGTTTTTCTGATACTTACAAATCCAGGTTTACAGTATGAAGTAATGGCACAACATAAACCTTAGAATGATGAACGAGGCGTATTACAAGGTGTAGTAAAACCTACTTCATTTTATGTCAAAATTCTCTCCTGTTTCACGTGATGTACAGGTATGAAGTTAAGCTAGAGTAGGAAAAAGTTAGTAGGCGCTATTTTTGCATGAAGTTTCCCATGGTAGATTGATGGCAGATGCATTATGAGCAAAGCAAAACTATGTACAGGCAGGCACAATTACAGAAGAATTAATGTACCAACAAGATCAGCACTGGCCATAAACATAGTAGAACATAGCGAAATGAAATTCACAGTTAATTTATACATCAGTATTTCAACGCAGAAAAGCATGCCCCATTAGGGTCTGTATTTTTCTTGGGTAATGGCGGAACACAGGGCAACTGTGGCCTATTTCCCTGCTTGAAACACACTCTGGGAAAGACTTGTACAGTCTTCATATGGGTTCATGGGGAGGGAAAAAAGAAGAGTACTCACCAAATAGAAGTGTAAAGATGTTATTCATACACACCTGTTATCCATTGCAGAGCCCTCTGCACATTGCCTTACAACCACAGTGTGCAAATCTGGCTTATTATTAGGAAAAACTTATTTACAGAAATCCAAAGATTTAGTTCAAGTTGTAACACAATAAAGAGGTATATTACCTTTAATATGTCCTATTCCTTTACCATAACTCAACAAAGCTTCAGGTGATGTTCACATTAAATGCTATTTGCCCAGTTCAAAGGACGCAGTGCTAGCCTGCCTACAACGCTACGCTTCAAAGGGAAGTTTTTTGTGCCATCCAAATACCCGTCTTGAACTCCACTAAAAACTCTCTGCTGGACCTGTGCCAATAGAAACTCCAGGAAGAAATGAAGACTTCCAAAATACCTTCCCTAAGAGAACGTTTAAATTCTTCAGCTATACGCAGCATTAACATCTGATGGGACAAACCTGTCAATGAGAGGACTTGGAAAGATGATGCTGGTTTTGCAGAAAAAATCTCTGATTTCAGGGGCCAGGCTGGAGTCGTAACTCCAATTAAATACTAAATTGCTTTCCTCAGGTTTCATAAAATGCTGTCTCAAATAGGCTTATCTTGTAAGAAGTGCAGCATGATCTTCTCATTAAAGAATATGTTACAATGAAAACACATTAGTACTAAAGCCATAAAAGACTGAGGAAATTATGGGCATTTTCCCCCAAACTAGTGGATTGCCCTAGAATCACTTTAAAAAACAGAATTGTACATTCACAAGTCTGCTTGAAAAGTGGGAACTTGCTGTTTAAGTGTTTCTTCAATGTTATCTCTATTTTGTTCTTTAATTAATAAAAGGATACATGCACTGACATTATAAACACTAATTTGCTATTTAGCGTCCCAAATTAGGAAGCATAAACATTTATGCACTTCATTAAACACTACCTAAGAACACTTTGAGATTAACAGGAGACAAGCTAGGCTGTTAAATGCAATTTCAGGGCGTACCTAAGCCAATGTAAAAAGACACTCCTCCTCTTCCTGTCCCTCACTACGAATCCTCCCTGGCTCCATCCTGCTGGCACCAGCCCTTATGAAATGAACCTTGGAAACAGGCGAGATCCAACACATCTGTGCAATCACAGGTGCCAGTTTAAGGGAAGGGACAGGAATGCAGGGACACAAGCAGCAAAAGCTGGGTGTACCTGTTTGGCAGCATGGCATACTTAGATTGGCACAAGCCAATCATGAAATTGCACTTCAGAAAGCATAAAACAAATACTTAGGTCCTGAATTAAGACATCACCTAAGCACACATCGTGTACAGGAAGAGACAACGTGGTGTTTTTCTCCATCTCTTCCAAAACAGCCGCTGCAGTTCTAGCGCACCTCATCTTCTCCCTTCCCCTCTTTCTTCCATCCACCCCAGCCCTTTAAAGAATCCTTGCATTGCTCCTTTCCAAATTATCTGTGCATACAGGACACTGAAATAGGCACAGCATTAGGGTATACCCATGCTACACGAAGATGGTAAGAAACGGTAAGTCTTTCAAAACTACAGGAAGCAGAATTGCAGTGGTAGAAAAGAAACAAATGCTGATACTCCGCAACAGCCAGCCTGAAAGGTAGATAATCACATCTGCATGCGTAAAAGAAATGGAAAGTTAACTAAGATCACCAATATAAAAAAAAAAAAAATAATCTTCAAAATTGATCAGTCCAGGCCCTACGTTCTCTCTACAAACCTTATTCTCAAAACCCTTCATGAAACAAGACTTCAGGTTATTTTCTTTCAATTACAGACATTAAGGTATAATTCAGACAACAAATTATTCCGTGTAACTTTGCATCGCAAGTCTAACTTCATTGTAGAAAATTATTTTTCATTTAAATTTTTGCTGAAAGCGTCCATTGTTAAATTACGGACTCAGACAAAACGGTACGACATTTTCTATTATACATAATCTTGCCATAGTGTGGCAATGTTTAAATTGTTTGAAAATACAAATACTTAAAAATATAGTGTTTCAAGAACAAGAATAGGGACATACTGAAGAGCTTTGTACCATAACCAGAAATCTGAAAAGTGCCTTAGTGCCTGAAAAGAACTCCTTTTAGATTTATTTCTTTTTTAAAATAAATTATCATGGTTTTACAACTTACAGCTTTGGGTTCTTTGTTGTTTGGGTTTTTTTTTTAAACTATGACGGCAATGGTGATCTATCTACAAGATAAGAAGTGAAAAAGAAGCGTTCTTTGTGTGTTTTTGACCAAATATATTGTTAGAGATCAAAACAAAGATTTATAAAAACAAACGATTAAAATTTCAGTTCAGAAAAACACTTCGTAAAATACAATAAAACTCTTTTCAATAGGAAAGTTGATCTTGTACAGTTCTTCCTTCTGAGCAGATGTTTACTGCAGCCTAAATCCACTAACTCCAGTAAAGCAAAACGTAGGCAAAATGGGTTGGTGTTTGCAGAATTACAACCTATACACAGAACTGCAGGTAACATACTGCAACTCATTGGAAAAACCTTTGAAAATTCACTGTTCCGTTGTGAGTGGACTTACAATATATCTTACATTATTTAAAAGCAGGTTACACCATAGAAGGGCTTTTGACAGAACTCTCAAAAAATGAATCCGTTATAGAAGGAGAATAATGCTTCAAGTCAGCTTCTCCCGTCAGCAAAAATGCCACGCAAATCAAAAAACAACACTTAAGTAAAACACTAAGACTTTATTAAAAATCCAAAATTTATTGCAAATTGTACTTTGCACTTTCCCTCCTTTCTTCATTTTTACATGATTTATTGATATCCATGATTTTTTCACAGATGTACTTGTTGACTTTGGAGAGTCTCTGTGCAATTTCAGTTTCATCCACTGTTTCTTGTGCTATTCTATCATACAAACATTCTGGGGAGAAAAAAACGGGAAAGAGCCATTAGGATATATTTAGAAAAGAATATAGCCCTGTGTTGGGCTAACTACTCAAGAGACAGCACTGAGTAAGCATTGTGTATATTTGTTGCAAGACAACAGAAGCTTTCATTGATTCACTGGCTATCTTGTTAAAGTCAAGATTTTTCACCAGGCTTGAATCTTTGGCACGACCAACTTCCAGTTATGCTGTGACTACATTAATAGGCTTTCTACACAGAAACAAGGCTAAATCCAACTTTTTACAGTGTCAGTCTTGCCTGCCTAACTCTTGTATTTGTCCATATCGCCCTGTCCCTGGGCGTATTTCGCTTTTATTAGTAGATTATTCAGGGCAAGAGCCATCTTGTACGTTTGCAGAACACACTTTGTGAACTTAACTGGAATAGAAAAAGCAAGCAATAGTAATAACTGCAAAAGCAATGAGGGCAATGAAAGTTGAGACAACTCTGCTTCACTGAGTCGGTAGTTCAGTGCCAGAGTCCTGCAGAGGTTACTGAAATCATAAGTGGTGCAACACACCCAGCCCCTTAGTGATAGGTAGGTTTGAGGGGTTTTGTTTTCATAACCAGAACAATGTATTTTGTTGTGCAGGCTTCCCAGATTGGTTAAACAAACTCTGTTCTGCTTTGCCTAGTAATCTATTCCAGTAGCTGTTTATTGCTTCATATACAGAAAGCCATAGAGATTATCGCTTAATTAACAGGGTTTACAACATTTCTAATGCGTCATATTAAAAAGTTATGAAAATTAAGTACCATGTATGCTTTGTAGTTCATTTTGAAACCTCTCAGAAGTTTTATAAAAGATTATTTTACATTAACAAGGTTTATAACAGTGCTCATGCATCATACTTTTTATAATTTCTTTATTACCTACTACACAGTAGGGATTTTTAAGAAGCTAGAGATATCAGACACATTAAGAGCTAATGCTGTCATTCAAAAATCTATTTTAAATAAGCTAGTCTGTGTCCACAGAATGATGAAAACATCTAAAACTATGTGAATTTTATGTTGTAAGATGTACTGAATATGAAATAAATACAATTAATCGTCATGCAGCCTGATAGCTGAAATGCTGACCATCAGTAAGTAAACTATGATTTGAAATACGACACCTAAGAAGAGGCACGTCACTGAGAACCTGAAGAAACCCAGCGTGTTTATAGGACATAAGCTTGCACTACAACAATCTCAGGAATACTCCCAGGTTGCAGCAGATACACCTAGTAAGGTGAACTTCTAGCAAACAACAGGCTATGTTATTAGTTTAGCCACAACATAAAGCAAAGAATCACTTGACAGAACTCATTCATCAGCTGTGACTCTTAAAGTCAGTGTGACCCAGACAGACCCATGATCATCACAGTTTTTCCTCTTCCACCTCTTCCATTTCTATGAGGGGCTGCAGAAATCGCAGTTTAGCAGTCACATAAGGATGCTGGCTTAGGGGCTCCAAAGAGTGATTTTGTCTTTGTCTTTTGGCTGCTTCTTTGCCTTTTGGCTTTAGAGTAGCATACAGATACCCCTTTTGTATTTCTGACTGGACCAAAGATTCAAGTAAACCTCAAAGACTAACAAGGAGTTTTACTTCTTTCTGTGATGCCTGATCCAAATCATTGGCTACATAAACTCTAACTTCCTCACATTTAACCATCCATCCACTTGCTAGTCATTTTTGTTTTGTTTTGTTTTCTTCTCCATAACAACTTCTTATTTGATCACTTCCAGCTTTCTAGGTAACACTGCTGGCACAATGAGGCAAGACCTACTAACATTGACGCAAATGCAAAGGACACAACAACATGGAAAATCATGGTTATGTGCTACCCAGTACTGCTGATATAGGAAGTCCGTCTGCTGCCACCTAAAACATTGGCCACACAGTTTAACGGGTTCAAGAGTAGATTGTACAGTCTTGAGTCTAACAAAAAGGGAGTCAAAGACAAGGTGAAAGCAACACTGGAAAGAGGAACATGGAAAAATAGGGCGTGGAACAGTAGAATTAAAATGAGGGTTGAGGCTGGAAGCAAAAGTATGACAGAAGACACAGAAAAACAAGGACATAGGGAAGAGCTGAACTGCTGGCGAGCGTAAAGGTATGAAAGAGAAGAAAGAGAAGGGCCTCCCATCTGCCTCTCACCATGTACCTGCTGCAACACACTCCCAAACTCACTGTAGTCAAAACCAGGGGAGTTACAAGAACGCTATCATTTGGCTCAAGCAACACAGAGTGGCCCTGACTGAAGCAGAAGAGGAAATTCTCACATAAGCAACCCTGCCAGCAGTGCTGAGGAGCAACAGCCTCCAGCATGGAAATTAGAAAGCTCTTTGCAATGGACCAGTGAAAAATAACCCCTTTGTACTGCATGCTTGTAAGTGCGCATCTGGGTAACCAATTCTGTTTCCTATTAGGAGCTGACAAGGGTAGCCACAGCCACAGAGTGGATTCCTTATGTGGCCAGTACTTCATTACTTCGCTGTATGTGTTAGGATTGTACCAAAAGGTCTCAGCCAGAACTAGAAAATGAGCATGGAACAGCTTACATTTCCACATACATTCTTGAAGCAGATTACTAAAAAAAAACCAAACAAACAAAAAAAAACCCAAAACAAACCCCAAAACCCAAAAACCCCACACATATCTTTTACTCATTTCTTACAAACTAAGAAAGATGACAATACAAAGATCAGTTTCCAGCTTTTCCCCACACAACACAGACACTGACACACACACACACTCAAAGAGGAATTTCTTACTTCGTATTTCTTACTCCCAAAACATGGTACTTGCAAGGCAGATTACAACAGCTCTTAAAGAGTTCATAGTTAAGAGCACATAGCAACTAAGAACAGGAAATGCAGAATAATGAAGCTCAATCAAATAGGGAGATTTCCTTCAGCCCTACTGCAATTTAGTATGGCACAAAATCTAAAAATCCAATTTCGGTATGTATTCCATGAGGAACCAACTCAGTTCTGACTTAAAAAGAAGCCTGAAATACCAAGAGAGACAGAAGTGAAAGCAAAACACAAGCATGATGATACAAAGGGACTGAAAATTCACTATTCATTTTAAATAAAGGAGAAGGCCTTCTCTTTCTCAAAGGACTAAATACATGGACTCAGGCTTGCAGTTACTGAAAGCGTCATTGCAATTTTTCCTGCCAGATAGGTCAGCGATTTACACTTCCTGTTCAAATTCCAATTCAAGTGAAACAAGTAGTTTTTACTATTTCCATTTTCTCCACTTAAAAGGGTAAAACTACTCTTTCTTGCCTTTGAAGGCATGCATATTTTCATAGTCACAGCTATAATGTTTTCTGTGCCTCATGCCAGAGTTGGTTATATTCTGGATGAAAGAATGTGGTAAAACTACTCTTAGGCTTGTTAAAAGGAATATATGCATTTAAAAAAATAATTATGTTATAAATGAATTCCAGAACAACATACTGTTCTCCGGGCTCAGAGTTCTGTCCTGCAAGTGGTTTAAAGTGATGATCTTCTTGAACCTTAACTGAAGTCAATGTACAACTCTTCAGCTGTGAAGGCCTGCACTGTCCACAGCTATTGCAATGTGTTTTATTTTTCCTGGATATGTATGCACTTCACAATGCAATAGCAATTTGAATTACAGTTTTTAATCAGTTAATTTTATATGAGCTGAAAAGAAGCATCTTTCAACTCAGTGATTAATGGTTATACTCCAAAGCAGGAAGCAAAAGTTTTCAAATAACCTACCTCTGACAATGCTTAATTTGTGAGGTGAGAGAGGTGGCTTGGGAACGGCATCTTTCTTTTTTTTGGTTGCAACTCCTGTGACACTTCTGTTCTTGAGAACATCTGTTCCCCAAATCATAACCGCTAGATTTTTTGTATACTTTGAATCTCCTTGTGTTACTTGCAGCTGGTGCCATTTCTCCTCATCTACCCAAATTCCACTGCCAAGATGGACCTAGAAGGTAGTAATAATAAGAACTTATCTATGGCATGTAGCACACAACAGTATCCAAGGGCTGTAGGAACATTAATATTAGGCACTATAATAACAGTAATTAGGGCTGAACAAATCCATTTTGCCTAATTCTGAAACTTCTCCAACTTCATGGGTCAGGGAGTTCAAGTCAACCTCTTATATAACATAGTTCCTTTTTGGATCAATTCTTACTCTCTACTTTTCCCCTCCCCGCATAGCCTATCTCCTGAAAGACTATGGTCAGGAACAGAGATAGAAGAAGGAAACAGTAAACACATCCAGTATTATAAAGGTTTGCACAGCATATAAACCAAGCAGTTGCACCAGCCTAATTCAGGAGCAAGATGAAACTTCATCTTTAATATGAAAGCTTCCCTTTGGCTGAAATAGACTTTACCCAAAGCATATTTTGGAGGCAGTAGAGGGGGAAATACTTCCTAAGTGGTATCCTGTATCTGTTTGCAAAATTCAGCCTGATTGTTTAAAGTAAGTAGAAGGGGAGAAGGGATTTTGAGAGTTCCAATTTCAATATAAGCCAAAAAAGTTTGGAAGCTTTGTAAAACTTCCAATTCTATCATGAAGTTTGCTTATCATGTACAATCAATCTACCCAGGCGAATACTGTTTCGTGGTAAGGCAATGATCTGTTGCTGCAACATCATGAACTTTCCATTATCCAGACAATGGGGAGTAGAGATATTTCATTGAAGTAGTAAAGCGGGATAATAAGGGTACTGGGAAATGCAGTGTGAACCCACTGTAGAGTCTCCAAACGGAAGCTGCTCGAGTCTACTTGTGTTTTGTTCAGTGTCTATTTGTCTTGCTCAGAATTGACTATGCTGGGTTGACTCCCACAGAGCTACACCATATTTCTACCCCAACATTCCCTGTGCTCCAGACTTAAAGATGAATGCAGGATGAGAAGCTGTGTACCATCCTTAGGCTGCCACTATGTATGTTTGAGCTGAGAGTTCTGATAACTAGGACACTGTTAAGTAACATCAAGGAAAATAACTCCACTAGTAATCAGCACAGGTCTGACATGAGTGCAACCAGGGTGCAAATGCTGGCCCTGTGTGGAACCGCAGAGAATATTTTGTACCTTGTATGTCTATGCTCCTAATTCCTGGAGTACAATGCACACACTTGAACTAGCTCTGCACACAGAAAGCTTTGTTCACATCGTGATGAACTTCGTTCGGTTGGACCCACACTTCCTCATAATCCATAACAAGCTAATGTGTGACCTAGCTATTCTAATTACAAGTAAGAGTTCACTGCACTGCAAAAGAAGACAGAACTTACTTTCAGATAATCTGTAAAAGTGCAAAATAACAAAAATATGTATCAATTGGATTGCTATATCCAAAATTTAGGTTTCATAAAATCTGATCAAATGGAGGTTCTTTCTGTAACACTAACACTTTAATAAAAACTGCCTCTTCAAGACAAAAAGAAAAAACTCATGAACAAAATTCTATGGCAAAACTGTATTAGGAGACTCTGGTTGCCTTAACCATTTTGCTCTTAGTTTGTCATGGTTTTACTCCTTTCATATGGCATTACATAAACTGTGCCTGCTACCTGTACAGATCTGAACAGTATCACATAAGTCCCATTAAATGCAATGAAAATTGGACAAAGCTACTGTAAAATTTTATATACCCATAATTTTACTGCCGGTATTCAACCAAATATCATTTTTCCTTTAAATGGAAACCTGCTTTAATTATTACTGAGGGCTACAACCTGAAGAAATTTTTTATTATGACAGCATCCTTCAAAAGCAACTAGTTGTTTAAAAACTTAAATAGAAAAATATGAATGGCTTAGCTACCAGCTACATTATAAAAAACAAATGAAAAGTCTAACTTCTGCAAAGTATAAAACCATAAAGCAAGCTGCCTCTCCTGCAGAATCTTCTACGTAAGTCCACATGGCATTTAGATTTTGTAATGGACAGAAATGGAACTAGTAATAACCACAACATGAACATCCCTTTTTCTCCTTCCTTCCTTCTCTGTTGTCAAGCTACTTCATAATTGCTTTAAAAAAATCCACACTCTTTTGGTGCTCTCTACATATTTTGTAAGACAACTCCAATCAGAGTGAGCAGTCTGTGCTCACAAAATAATCACGTTACAGTTGTAATTCAGTTATTTCTGTTTTGATCTTGGAAGTTATCTGTAAAAATGAGTATAAGTTACTTAGAAAATAACTAAGATGAGGAATGTTGGGACATGGCAAGTTTTGGATGTCTGTACTACATTAGTTGAAGAGACTGTTGTATATGATCAAAAATCTGATTCTCCTCTGCCAAAATTAGGGTTTGTCTTTGTTAAAGATTGTTTAGTCTCTTAAACTACATTATTCATTAACTTTAAGTTACTTAAAAGAAAACAACAAGTTACAGCAAATATTTTTAATATTTACGTTTCAGACAAATCATCTCTTCTTTGAACATGCTTCTTTTATTAAAAGAAGTTATCACTGGTATGAAACACCTATGGTAACAGCAACTACGTGACAGACAGCCACAGACACAGAAATCTTATGTCTCCCTTTTTCTATTTCTAGCACTGTTACGGCAAGGAATTTAATCTATCCATGTCTCAGTTTACCTCTCTATAAAAACAGGCTCGATACTGTTTCCTATTACTCCCAAAACTATGGGAAGCTTACTGTAGTCCAGATTCAGAGGCCATTTCCTTCTTGCTGGAAGAGCTGCCCCATGGGCCAGACCCTTGGCTTGATGAAATCAATGGGAACTTTCCCCCCAATTTCAGCAACTGCAGGATCAACCTTCAAGCACAATGCAACAGAAACAACAGCAAATTCAAAGCAATGCTCACTACTTTAACTGTGCTAACATGTGCAATGTATCTAAAATGTATCTCAGAAGATGAACTTTTTTTTTCTTCTTCTTTTCTTCTCTTTAAATGAATGCCATAGGCTCTTTTTCAATAACTCTGTTCTCCCTCTGGAGGGGAGAGATTTATCTGCTTTGAAAGAATCCTACTAAGATCAAATCCAATGCCACAAAGGGCAAGATTTCTAAAAAAGTATTTCAACTACTGTAGTGGTGCATGTCAATAAAGGAATAATAAAAAAAAGGTATAAATAAGGAAAACTGAAAAAAACACCCTCCAACACTCTAAATACATTATTAGTTCACATTTCTGGCATCTGAGCTGGCTGAAGCCCCAGTAAATAGACAAACTTAAAGAAAAAACAAAATTACAAAAAGAAGAAAGTTAAGAGATATTAATATCTGTAAAGACAGAGAAAACTTCAGCAACAGAAGGGCCAAGAACTGGCAGATGAAATAAAGGTGCAGGAAAAGCTGCACAAAAATACTAAAGGATGTGCCCTATCCTACAGACCTTAAGCAGGAAAAAAAGGAGGTACACCAAACTCTCACAGCAATATATGCTAAGTTTTCATCGCACAAATAGACAGAAAAAATACAAGCAAATGACATATGTTAAATATACTAGGCAAGAAAAGCTATCTGAACCAAATACCAGTCAAACTGCCAAGATTATACTATTTTTCACATACATTTTGTCCTCAACAATTATGTTGAATTCATCTTCAAGAATGACAGACACTTGTGCAGTCAATCTTGTAACACAAATCTGAAAATGTAGTATTTCATGCTATTCCATCAGTAATGCCACTGTGTACTGAAGCTGAAATCGATGTTTCTTCCTTAAAGGTTCTCAGATTATGGTACCAAATGCATACATATCCTAAGAAACAGGATCTGCACAGGCAATTCTGAAGGATCTATAGTTTCGTAAAAGAAATATAATGTTTGTTTAACGATAATGGCAACAGCTATAAAAGCAGGCCTTGGTAGGTGAGCACACAATGTGTATCAGTCAAGTTCTGGCAAATTGTAGCTAGATGGTATTTCACCAACTCTACAAAAGTATCTGGAAAGTAGCACTACATCAGTGCAATTCAGTGGCAATGCTCCTACCAGATTCAAGGGAGCCCATCTTCATTCCATGGTTCATAATTATCTACTGGACTTCAACTAAACCACGAAGGCTTCTCTGCAATATGACTACAGCACATTAAAAACGTTAAAGACCTTTTAGGAAAAAGTATTTCTGTTAAATAGACTAATATAACTTTATAATGTGGGTTACTGACTTTGTCTATATTTGGTGGATTTATGCATGTCTCCAATTGAAGACTATGCCAATTTGCTTGTGCATGCATATTTAATGATTATATTCCTTGTGTTGCACAGCATTCAATGCTCTCATCACTGAGGATAATTTTCTATGCTGTTCATGTATGTGTAATTTCATAATTTTCCTCAGCATAATAGCATACCTTTACGAAAACTGAGGAAGTTTGTATAAGCTGCTACGAGGCAAAACCCCTGAGATCATGAAAATTCCACAAGAAAATCACCTGATGGACATTTACAAATTATTCATGCTATATTTAATTTAAAATACCTTTCCATTCTCGAGAATATACTTGTCCATTACTGGAACAGGGGCAGGATAGTACGTTGATGTATTTGCTTCCTCACTGAAGGTCTTCTGTACCTCAGGTTCAGGCTCAATTGATTCTGGTTTTACTTTTTCAAGCTCAATGGCAGGTCCTAGACAGTTAAGAAGAGAGAGCTGTCTGCTATCCCAGAGAACATGAAATCAATCACTTCATCATCCATGGTTAGCATAAAACAACACATTAGTTATGTTCATTTTAAAGTTAGAAAGAGCCTAAACCAAAATCCTACTTCTGAACATCAATAAATAAAAGCAGGATAAGTAACTCTGCTTTATAAACATTAAAAAATTTAATTTTAATTTAAATGTTTGATTTTGTTCTTAAAGCACATGGGCAATTACAGATATGGGTAGGATTGCCTCAATGCACACTACAGAAATTATGTCAAGATGACACTGAAATTAGAAACCAAAAGCAACAATAGTAATTCTTCAAATAAGAATTACTATATAGTTGCATAGAAACCTGCATAATTTACTGCAAAATTACATAAATTATCCAAATAGAATTACAAACTTTATAGAAATTTGAAATCTCTTTAGATATAACAGAGATATATTAAAAATAGTCAGCATCTACACAAATGCTATGAAGGAAACAGGCTTAGGCTACTTATGCTAAAGTATCATGCAGAGAAAGAGTATCCAAGGTTAAAAAAAACCCACATGAATTAGAATTTTGATTGTCCAATCCATCCAACACACTGATTTTTATTTTTAATGTAATCAATAAAAATTAAGCACAGATTAAACAACAGAATACTAAGCATATGTTTGAGGCTTCAAGGGAGAATAATTATTTTGTCAGTCATCAACTTTTCTTTTCCAGATCAAATTTATAAAGTGTTCCTAAAAAGACAGAAGAACAAAATAAAATAATTTGTGAACTGGATTTCATTATTCAATTCATTGCAGCAGTTACACCAGAAGTCTACAAACAGGCTACGGCCTCAAGGCTATCATTGTCTCTTGATGTCTGTCTCTAGGATCATGAGAAGCTCCAGCAGTCACTGAAGTTCCATGCAGGGACGGTGGTTCATTAACACAGCAAGGCTGCCAGCTTAGACCCCGGACACCATGGTAATCAGCCACTTCCAAGAACTATAAGGATAAACTCACCCACTTGTAAGAACTATATTGTACCAGGTTGGTGCTGAGAGCGCTGCAGCACTCTGTAGCCCAACCCTGACATCTTCAACAAAGGACAATTCAATAATCAGGTCACCATCACACTTCAGCATCCCTCCTCAGTGTTTGAGCACACAGACCAAGCCCTGAATTGATCTAGCTCTGCAAGACAAGCTGGCACCAGAACTCATGTCTTGAGTCACGTATCTTAAATAGTTCCTGTACCTGGAACAAGCAAAGCATTCATTCCTCCTACTTTGTGCAGTTTCATTTAGAGACTATACAGTGATATCAGTATTTCCTCCATTGTCAGCATCTGACATTTATCCTCCAACTTACTCTACACCTACATAGCTAGCTCAATGTTCTCAGCTGACTGCCACTTGACACTCAGCAACAACGAAAAGTTGTCTCGGCAACTCAGGCAATCCTATACTGCAGTGGCACCGACAAGAGTGTCTTAAGAGCCATAGGCAACGTAAGCATGGCGCAAATAGAGAAATCACAAAACCCATAACATTTGCATTATAATTTCATAATAATCTTAATAAGCACCTCTACTATCACGCATATACAATGGTATGGCCAAGACAAACTAAACTTTCTAAAGCTGAGACTGCTAAACTGATTCAAATTGGGGGAAAGACCTAGACTGATTAAAGCACCCAAAGCCTCCACACATCTCAGTGTATGCACACCCGAACAAGCCAATGCAGTGATGTAATAGCCAGTGTGAACTTAGGAATTGATCTTTTAGCTGTTACTTCAAGAACACATTATTAAACAAAGACTTTGAAAGTCACCTTGAGGAAGACACCCAAGTACAACCATCTTTTTCCTAGAAGAAAACGTTTATCTCAGTTCAAGCACTTTTATTAGTTGCTATTTAGAAGTCTTTTACTGTTTTGTTTATAGTCATATACCGACACAGAAGGGAATTGGTTTCCAGAGTTCCCCAAGTAAAACAGCTGATTAAAGTCCACAATAACCGTAACTCTTAACAGGTCAGAAAAACCTCTATTGCAATTCATGCTTTACTGCTTGCTTAGAAGTCTCCAACAAAAAGTCTTTAAAATGTCATCTTAAATATTCTACCGACTTTTTTCTTCCCAGACAGAAATCTGCCTGTAACTAGGTAGTCTTCACAACTACTTTCACCACCTACTAAAGACTGCATTTTCAACCCAGCATATTGTGAATTAGACATGCAACCTGCATTATTGCCTCACTGCTAATGGGAGTTGCATGCCAAATTTACCAAGCACCACACTTTAAAAGTTCCTCTCTCTGTAGTTCTCATGCTCTGCATCTTATTTTAAAGATGATGAATGGGACATACAAAAATATATGCCACTATCTAAATGCTTAACGATAGTACTTATGTAAAAAAAAAAAAAAAGACAATTCTTCAGAATGTAAAAAAAGGAAACAAATGTTTTAGTGCAAAATCTTTCTCCTTCTGACTGTAAAGTTTCCATAATATCTGAGAGGCCATCCAAATGCGGGATGAAGAGGTAGAAGGCTTCCCTTCATCACCTCTTTTCTTCAAAAATGCATCTTAGGCTACATGCTACTCAAAAATTAGTAAATAAGCCGAAATAAACTAACTGATAAAGGAGTCAATATACATTTGTAAGCAGCAAGCTGTTTTTTGACATGATCTACCAGAATTTGAACAAAAAACCCAGGAATCTGTATTGTTATATTACATGGTACTTCCTGTACTCGTATTTGACAGGAACCTTGGACTTTTTTTAACATCAAAAAGCTGGACACATCCAGAAAACCTGAATAATAGTAATTCCTTACATGTGGTAAGACACAAATACCACTTCATTCCCCCTATCCTGGTGTCAGTCCCAAGACACTGTAAATTGGATCACTGAAATTAAACTGGGATTAAAAGTAACCACTTGGGGGGCTCTGTGTGTGTGTTGATAAATGAATGTTTATGAATGAAAGTGAATATACTCCCTGACTTTAGAGCAACACTAATTCTTAGCAAAACAACATGAAAATGAAGTATTTAGCAGAGAGCGAACACCCAAACATTATCCCTGATACAACTTCACTACTTCTGGCCATATACAATCATAGTAAACTGCACAGATCTTACCCTGGAGACAATTATTTTTCTAAGAAGTTATTGAAATTCTTATCTTTTGCAATCCAAGGACTATTTAAAGTTAGGCCTACAGGGAAGAGTCAAGTGATTTAATTCTCTAAATCACCTTACTCTATTGTTACAGACAGGGAAATTAGTGCATTTTCAGGTGCAACAGAACAAAGATAAACTGCAAAGGCCTACAATTGTAGAGCTTCCTGATCCCAAAATGAGCAAGGCAAAAGGCTGCACATATTCTTCCAGGAGCTCAGATGAGGGATATCATAACCTCTTCCACAACAGTCAGCATGTTTCCCCACAGCTTTGGTCCCTAGAGCCCTGGTCAAATGCTCGTCTCCTCCAGGAAAGGATCTGTTGGGCAACGGCGTATCAAAATCATAAAGAAGCCTCAGTATATCCCCATGGATCAGTACTGTTTTCACTACTGTCATTTCTTACATCTGCTTTCAAGGCTCTTTTAAAACTGAGAGCAATTCAGTGTCACCATGAGGAAGATTAAGAACCTAACTCTTCTCACAAGAGTGGCTCAAGTTTAGCAGCAGAGATGAAGACCTAGGTCTAGAGTAGAATACATAGACTTCTAGCTTCTCACTGAAATCAACATGTTGATGGGAAATCAGGAGACTGAATACTTGACTGAATGTTAGCACAAGAGGCTGTTCTATATTTGATCCACAACTTTAAAATGGCAACAGGCACGCATTTCCCACAGCTGCAATTCATCAGCACAAACCAGCTGTCATCTCATGCAAAGAAATCAGATGTCTCTAAGGTGAAACAGAAATGCAATTAGTTTGCATTAAGTCCAGCCTGCTAGAAGTGCAGTGTAACATAAATTACATGTAATTTGAAACTTTAGGTTTAAGAGATCGCTGCAACAACTGAAGATGAATTCAGGATGTAATCTATTTTCTGAACAATTTTCAGAGCTTATTCACATACCCAAACATACCTCACTTATAAGCTGGAAGACTAAAGAAGTCTTTACATATCTATTTCTTGATTAGAAGTAGCACTTTTTCATACTGTCATCAGACTCTCTAATTTATAATGTGCTTAAGATGTCTTCCTTTCTAATCATTCATAAATTTTGTATTGATCTTTCTAGAATCTGATTGTTTCTCTACTGTGAATGAGACTACAAGGAAAGGCAATAGACTAATCAGCAGTTAATACAATGAGTCTTAGGAAACGCAGACCCTGTGAAGGACACAGCCCTTAGGGCTAAATTCTACCTTTGTCATCCATGAAAGGTTCCACAGAAGTAATAACAACAAGGGATTTTTTTTGGAAGTTACCTATAATTCATATTTGTCCATGTATGTGATTTAATTTAAAGAATTTGTCTTCAATGTAATCAAGATTTATTTTCAGTTTTAAAGCAAGTGTCAGACTGATACAATTTAAATTAAAATCCAGTATTTAGACAATATTCAGCATTTTTTTCGAAGAGGTTTTGGGGTTTTGTTTGTTGTTCTTTTTTTTTTTTTTCTTTTTCTTCTAAGTTTTCTTGAGTCAGCTCAAGTAAAAAATACATCCTTTCTTTCTTAAAATGAAAGAAACAAGACAGAATTCAGAAGCTGTCTTCATTTCATTCCTGGTCTCACCACTCAAATTGCTGTCAAGTCTACCAACTAAATTGGTATTTTACACTGTTCAGCCCCATTGCCTACTAACATCTGGCTGGTGCTCCATTCACATAAATTCCAGCTAACTACTTGCAGATGAAGAAACATCTTTCCATCCAAGGAAAATTTTAGAGAGCTCAGTGAAACCTACTGCCAACCACATTGTGTTTTTCAGATTGTGGAGAAATCTTGCCTATTTAGTTTTATTTAAAAAGTTAACTAGAATGTTTATAATCAGTAATGACATTTTAATTATGCACAGTGTAACAATGATGAGCATTCACAATCAAACACCCAGTTTAAATCATCAGATGCTACTTTGAGAACCTGACTCCAAATTTGCGGGCATACCTTAACACATGCTACAGCACAGGCACATGCTCTCCCAGCTCCAGGTTTGTACGTGAATGTAACTCAGACCCACATGCAAATTGCATGCACTCGTTCAAGTCAAGTAGAAGAGCCAATATCCAATTTACATGCAAAAATTAAGTTTCCAGATACACAAAGGCAGACATAAGAAACAGCATGCTAAGTTTGGATGCACAAATTTTAACCAAGTTTGTCACCAAGCAAATCTTCAACACAGCAGTACCACATTCTAATAGCAAATAAATATAAATTAGTAAAATATTTGAAGGTATTCCAAGGGTATCATCTTCAATGAAAAGGATGAACTTTTTATTTTGTCTTTTTTCCCATTTATTCCAACATAATGGTTAAATAATTGTTATAAACCAAAACAAATGAGCAATTGACTCAATATATTTAGAATTTAAATCCAAATTACACAAACGTGCATTTTGTAACAAGTGTTGATAAACGGGACACTAATATAAAAAGTTTTTTTAATTATTCTTTAACAATCCGTATTTTTCATATAGCATGGCTCTTTAAAGCCACTGCTAAGAAGTTCAGAAATATATCACATTCTAATGAGCTACTAATGGGAAGAGGGGGCAGAAAATGGAAGATAACACAGTCACTTACATAACAATAAACAAAATCCCTAATTGAAAAGAATAAAATAGTTTTAGCCCAAATATTCATTCCACTGCCTTTACTTTCTTCTTTTTTTCTTTTTAAACGGGAACATACTGGTATATTTTGCAGATGACGCTTTATTATCTTTTTCAGCATATACTGGAAGGTCAGAGACTCTTTAAAATACAGCTGCTTAAAATGAAACTCTGATTCAACCATACCAGCACAAAGACCTCTACTATCATTAAAGAAAAACCCAGACATACATAGCATACAAATTCGACACATATTGTACAGCCATAGCAGAAAACCCTTTTAACATTCAATGTCCAGTTTAACAACCACTGCTATTCTTCAAATATGTTTCCATTACTATTGATCACACTTGCAAAATTCATTAAAACTAGTCCCATTTAAGTCCGGCACTTACCACTACCTAGTCTTAGAAGCAGTACATCCTGGAGTCTCCTGTTCAAGTCTCTGAGCTCTTTCATTTCTGACACGAGTGCCCCATACTCCTTTAGCTTCTTTGCCTGTTGCACAAGCTGTCTCCGCGTTCTCTCAAGCTCCTGTTGAATGTGTCTCATCTCTTCTTGTTGCTGTTGGTAACTCCTCAGCAATTCTTCATACAGAATCCGAGGAACTACAGCATCGTCCATGTTGTTCATGCCTTCCGAAGTCTCCATAAAAGCCTCCTCAGGGCTGGAAGTATTACTGAGGCTCATCCCATTCTGTTTTTCAAGGCGAGCAACAACTGCTTCAATGCTTTTGTGCGTACCTTCACTTTGCTTCCTCCCATCTTGTCTCTGCATGTTACAATGTAAAAAATAAATATATAAATTAGGGGAGCAGTAAGATGCAATAAAATTAAAATTCTACAGACTTGTGAAATTAATACTTGTTTTCCAAAAAAAGCAAGACAAAGTCTGCCTGCAAAAATGTTTTGCCTAACAGATTCTTGTGGATATACATCATAACTACCATGCACATGTAATTCAGTTAAACGCATACACAAAATTCTGAGGCAGTTAAAGGCCTTTCTTTCTGCATTTGGGCAACACTTGCAAGCTCAGTGTACATGGGTCACTTGATTCCATATTTAATTTCTTTTACAAATACGTGGATCTGGATCTCTCTTCCTTTAAAGTTTACCCCTAACATTTAGATTTCTGACTGCAATTGATTTTCTGATAAGAGAAAGAATCAACTACTTGCTAGTTTGTCACCTGTAACGACATCAGAGATCAAAGTGGCATACCACACAAAGCTGTTTTGTGAACAGAGGGCTTGTCCTTCCCAGATTTTGGGAGACAAAACCTCTGACTACTCCTCTAGCAAGCTCACCCAACTACCTGATGCAAGTGACTGAGTTAACGCTCTCAGCAAACACTGGAAGGGAACTGAAAAGACAGAAGGTGGAGATAGAATATATCATCCAGCCTCATCTCCCTCACCAACTGATTCCTTCTGTATTAGTACTGCTTTGCAGAGGCTTCATGTTCTTTGAACTATCAGCAGAAATTTACCTTCAGCCATCCACACAAACCCTACAAATTAAAGCACGCCACTTTTCTGGGGCCTGGACAGTGGTATTAAAATGTGACAGTATGGATAAGAGTCACTAAATTTTATTGGCCAAATATGGAAAAAGCATTTGAACTTCCAAGCAACTGCAAGGAAAGCAAATGTAGCTCATAGGTTAGAGACAAGAAGCTGACACTAGCAATTCCCATACCACAATATCCATGAGCAATGTGGCAGAAAATGAGATTATTTGATGTTACGCCTGTTCTATGCATGTTCTAAAAGTAAAAGAAAAATAAAAAAATAAAAAAAAAAAATTCTGGCCCACCATAAAGAAATGTACTAGTATCATTCCTGCAGCTGCAAAACACATGAAGCCACAGAGCAGTATTTTATTCTGAAGGTTGGCAGACTTTTAAAGAAATCATTTGATATCAAAAAATAAATACATTTACATAGTGAATTTCTGGCATCTGGACCTAAAAAGGCAACTGGCAGTTATGACACAGGGATGCAGTCCTGTCAATTTGTCTTCTCACCCACTGCTGTAGTTGGGAAGTCTCAGGGCAGCCCTTCCAATTCCAAACAAGCAGGGCGCAATAGGTCACAAGTGCCACCGAGAACAGCTGCTCGACATTCATGTAACTAGTGACTTTTAAAGCATTCTGGGCCAAAGTGGAAGAGCATTGTTCCAAAAATCTCAAATGGCAATTAAACTGTGTAGACAGTCTAAACAGGAAAATGTTCGATTGCACATAAATCAGGTTTTGAAAACCCGTACCCCACTCCCACACAAAATTTGATCCAATTTTACCAAACAGTGTTTTAAGGGGATCAAAAGCAGGCCTGGAATTCTTAAGCTATGACATCTGTATATGCCCCAAGCACTTCCAAAAAAAAAAAAAAAAAAAAAGGAAAAAAAAAAAAAAAAAAAAAAAAAAAAAAAAAAAAAAAAAAGGGGGAGGGGGAGAAAGGAAAAAAAAAAGTAAAGACTTCAGTACCTTACTGTGTCTAAGCTCCACATCTTCTTCCCCATAATCTGTAACCTCCCCAGCTTCTTCTACGTGATTGAGAGAGAGTTTGGGGATTTTAATTTTCTTCTGCATCACACTGTTCTCAAGGTCAGTTTTGTCCTCTAAAATGTATATTAAAAATAAAATTTTGTTACATTAATCAGTGTTCTTACTTCCAAATACTACATGACTGCAGTAAGATCAGTTAAAAAAAAAAACAACAAACACCATAAAAACCAAAACACTCCCATGCTTCAATCCCCTCATAATACTATCATCAAATTAATCCATGGTGTAACTCAACTGATGCCCACTGACAATTCTAGAGTTTCAACTGGGGATCAATCTGGTCAAACACAAGAATAAAGATTGTAAAATGCCAAGCTAAATTCATGTGAGTGATCAAAAGTGTCAATGAGTAGCTTGTATTGTCACTAAAATAAGAGTTAAAGATGATGTAAATAAAGCTTCCTGAAGACCATCTGTATTGCTTTAAATTATGTTTACTAACAGTATTTTCATATTCATAATCCATTGCTGCAGTTCAAACTCTGCTTAGGTTTAAAGTGAAAATAAAATTGGTAACTCATCCTATACTCTAACCATCATCTGTCAGCAGTACAGATCTATTTGCGCACATGGCAAATTCTGCTCTCATGCAAAGTCCAGGACTGGAAAAGGGGATGCTGCAGGACAGGTTGAAATGGTATTACAGAAAAGTTGCATATGGAACAAATCTGTAACAAAATTACTATACAATCCCTATTTCATTTGTTAATGGTACCAATCCTTTTCCTTTAGATACACAAAGCCAATAAATGGTTATATTAATCTTTGAATCTCATAAAAAAATTTGAAGTAAAATATTTTCAAGTCTGAAACATTCTAACAAATCTCAATATTAAGTATTTCAAAACATTATTCTTAAAATAAGTTTGAAATATTTTAATACTCCTGAAAAGGTGCAGAGGGGACAGGGAATCAAGAGTATAGTCTCCCCAAATGTGCCTGTGATCTGTAAAATTCTTGCAGACAAGGTCTTAAAAGATTCACAAGCTTGGCTACCTGTTCAATACACTGACAAGGAGAAACGCATTTCAACTCTGAAGGGTTGTCTTTGTACACTGAAAGCTTATGAATAAGAAAACATTTTGAGTCTTCTTAGCCACCTGGAAACAGTATTTCACAAAATGTCCCATGAATATTTTTGAAAGTGCCAATGAGGATGGCATTTGTGAGTGCTTAGTTGCATCAACTTTTGCTTTCTCAAATTAGCATCTCTACACAGGACCTCAAAATGGTTAGTGTTGACAGTGTAGAAAGGGGAAACAAAGGTAAATCACTGTTTAATGAGGAGCAAGGCATTCATTAGAAATGAATTACACAGATGAATGCAATTCATTTTGTTACAGATAGAAATGGATCTCTTGTAGGCAAATGGTGATATTACAGCCCAAGGCTATGTAAAGAGAATAGGCACAGAACATGCAGAATAAGACATTAGACAACCTGAAATGAAATGCAGATGGTAGCAATAAATACTAAGACAGATGCAAAAAGAAACAGATAAACAACAAAAACCAGCTAGGCTTATTTTAGATCGTTCTCCATTCCCCAGAGCACCACGGATGCTTATCCCAGTAAAACAAAAAGGCAATCCAACTGTTTCAGTTTTGGAAAATAAACCCCTACATTTTCATTTATCTGGAAAATATAGGTTCATCAGAAAAGTAAGATAATCCAATTCTACTGTCAGAGCGCAGAGAAGAAAATAAGAGAGCCCTTCCTAGAAAAAATACAAATTTACAGACTAAAGGACAGACTGATGTGTATTGGTATCTCCCTGGAAGGACAGAAATTTAAGAATAAATAAATCCATATTGAATGGGGAAAAAAATACTACCAATTTTTCCTGTGACAGTGTCTTTTGGGGTATCTGATAGATTGAGCAATCCTTTCCTTAGAATATCTTCTCACAATTTCTTAGAGGAAGAGCAGCACAGGCACATTGCAGAGCCAGCTTCCCCAGACTGCTTTGCCAAATCATGTTCCACACAACATGCAGATGAACTACATTTAAAGAATGAAGAGCAGTTTCTATGCTCTGAAATAACCCTTGGCCTCACAACAAGACAGACACAATCTAATTAGTTCACATAGTTAAAAAAACAAAACAAAACAAAACAACAGCCTGCTGGCCAGTAGCTGAGGTCACCAGTAGCCAGAACCCCATGCAAATTGGAAACGGGACACTAGCCATCCTTCCCATGGCCAGGGAAAACCAAGTCTTGAAACGTTCATGGAAAGAGGTCACAGAGGTGTAAGCGCACGTGCAGACTACAGCGGAAGTCAGCAAATACTTTCCAACAAATAAAGCAACATTAAAAAGAATTTGGAAGAACAACAATATTTATCTTTTAATTTTGGCTTTCATTTTTAAGTCAAATTATAAAGGTTAAGAACACATTTTATGCACTGAACAACAGAAATGAAAGAAAATACTTAGTTTGGGGTCGAACAAAACAATGCAAAACATCTCTCCACTCCTCACCCAATTTCTCAGTTTGCCTATGAGACTTATGTTTGCAAAACTTCACTGGTGGACTGAAGGCAAAAGTTTGTTTATATACCTCCTTACAAATGCTTAGTTTGTACATTGTTGGTGTGTAACTATCAACATCATTCCCTTTCATGCTTGGCAAACCTCTTTGTTTGACTTTTTGATTTTACTGCTTATCCTGTAAATGAACCTGTAAGTTGAAGAAAGGAACTCTCTTCTCCCAAAACAAAAATTGAAGAAACAATGGTGAAAATGAGTTTATACAAGTTAAAGCTCAGGAACTTTTCACTTAGTCAATGAGCAAAGAATTTTATGTTCCTCTGCCTTCCAACAACAATACATATAATATTTTCTTACATATGCTCTGGTCTTTGCAGGCCTATTTATACCTAACACAATTCATCCAGTGTATTGGATATGAAAAGGCCTTTTGTTTTCCTTTTTTTTTTTTTTTAAAGCACATTTCTGACCTCTGTTGCCTTCTGCATTAGCCACAGATAGACCCAGAAAAATCTCATTCTGACTTTGAGGCTAATGCTGGAGTACGGGCTCCTGTTCTGTAAATATTAATGGAATTTGGGAAGGGGTGTGAGGCAGAGAGAGGAGACCAGAGGGAGGGGTAGAATAAACACGAATGCGCATTTAGAGCAGTTCTTCTTAGGACTCTGCTCTGTTGTTGTGCCAGCCTATGAAAGACAGGTACAAAAGAACAATCCAGCAAAAATCAAAACACACACGATTCTGAGCCAGAAGACAACCAGGATATGAACCAAACAGCTGGACAAGCTGCAATTCAGTGCCTGAAGCTACAGAACATGCTAAGAGAGAGGAGGGCAGCCGTAGAAACATTGTAGTGCAGAGCCTTGTTTTGTAACCACCCGAATCATTTGTCTGGACTTTGATTCCAACCATTCCAACCTTGGTCCAAGTTAAAAATTATACCTTCCTTTAGGTGGCCATGATCGGCTTGTCATAAAGTTGTGCCTATTGTTTTTCTTATATATGGAATGAGTGCTTCAGTGATACTGGCTACTGAGAACTAGCACTTCACACACCTGATTAGGTACTTGTAACAAAATACACAAGGTAGAAGCACGATACAACAATGGACAGCATTGTTTCTCTCTGTTCTTTAAGAAGGGACACTCTGGAAGACACATGTAAATTAGGAAAAAATGCTTTTGTGCACAGCAGCCATAATGCCAGAGAACACAGTACTCTGTGTATCGAATCACAGAGTAAATAAAGCATGCTGGAATAACCATACTCCAGGAAAAGGTCAGACTTGAAGAGCTCTGGCCAGCCAACGCCACAAGGTACTGAAGTACAGGGCTGAACACTCAGTGCACATGATAGCATCTTTCACCATACAGCCACCTACCAAAGTTGTTCGGGTAGTAAGAAGAAAGTGAACTGCTGAGAAATTTCAGAGTGGCTGGGCAGACATTTGGCCTCAGTAGTGCTGAAAGAAAGAAAGCAAAGCCAAAAAAGCAACTCTGCATTAGAGAATCTGTATCAACTAGCAAAGGATAAACTGTTCCTGGAATGTTTTCTTCAGTCAGACCTTCGTTTCAGTTTCAGGATGGGTGGATGCAGGCCAAAAGGTAATAGCTTTAAGTCTAGAGTAGCAGGGAACGAACTGAGGCAGACAAAGCGACTTTAACAGGGCAGGAAGCGGGTTGGTTAAATTCAAATAGAACACATTAGTGCTTTAAAACTGAAAACCCTATCATTGGGATGTAGAATAAAACTATGGAAGTCTCAGTCTCCTTAAAACATTCCTTGCTTTCTAATTTAGAAGTAACGACTGAACAAACTAATCCCTTCAAAAAAATAGTTCAAATTCAGATTTTTTTTTTTCCACCTCTGGAGTAAAAGCTGGAAAAATAGAGGAACAGAGCTCTGCACTCCAAATGGATGAGGGATGGCAGGTCTGGGATCAGTCCAAATAAGGGGCTTGGCAATGCTATAAATCTTACAGTAATAAAACTAAAGAACCTTGAGCAAAATTCATCCTTCCCTTAAGCCTTCAAAAAAAATTCCACCCCTTGTGAAAAATGATATACTGACAGATGAAAAAATTTACCATCACCCTTCCCATTTCCAGGCATATACCCAACACATATGGACAACACCTGTACAAGATTCCCCACACACTGCTGCACTGAACTGCTTTGCTACTGGTTTTGCCGGGTTGCTTCTACAGAGCAGACAGCATCACCTGCCTCGGCAGGTGTGCATTGGTTACAGTTCATAAAGTAAAAGACCCTTAAGAATCAAAGCAAAAACCCCACAACCAAAGGTATACTTGGTGCTTCAAAGCAAATACACATGCCAAGCACAACAGGGCATAGATTCCTAAGTGCCACTTAAACACAAATAAACAATAATCAATATGGCTGTGACTGAGAAGGAACACAGCATGATAACACAAACAAACCAAAAGCCACCTAGTTTCTTCGAAACTGGAAAAAAAAAATTATAAATTACTTTCTTAGCTAATTTAATACTAACATTAAAGGAGGTCTTTAACAGGAAGAACAGAAGAGATTTCAGAAAATG